GTTCTGTGGGTGGTCTAATCCGTGAAGCGTAACTGCTGTGTAAATTCTTTGTGGTGGCCGGCTTAGAGTGTATCAGTGTGCCATGTGTATGACTGTGCTATCTATGTGTGTCTGGTCTCTGTGATCAGTTGATGTCAGTCCACAAGAAGAGGAGGAGCTTCTCGACATGAAGGTGAAGTGTCTGAACAACATAGCTGCTGCTCAGCTGAAGCTAGACCACTATGACGCAGCCCTGCGCTCCTGTGTCTCTGTCCTAGTCCACCAACCAGACAACATCAAAGCCCTCTTCCGTAAGGGAAAGGTAGGCGTGCCGTATCCCTGGCCGGGACAGCTGGTCTTTGTGATCGCATAGAAAGAGCTTCTTCTTTTGACTGAATAAACTTTGGGTTTTAGGTTTTGGCTCTGCAAGGTGAGTATGCTGAAGCTATCAAAATACTGAAGAGGGCTCTGAAATTGGAACCGAGCAATAAGGTAAGATTCAGCACCTGATCTTATGGGGGTAAGGAGAGCATGTTCTCAATGCCTTAGACGTTCATTCCCACAGCTTCTGATCATGCACTAAGGCAGGGGTGGCCAATCTTAGCCACAAAGGGCCGGTGTGTATGCGGGTTTTCGCTGCAACTCCCTAATTAGATTACTAATTAGAGAACTGATTGGCTGAATAGTCCTCACACCTGGGTTTGAACAGCTGACCTACAGGTTATCCCAAAAACCTGCATACACACCGGCCCTTTGCGGATAAGATTGGCCACCCCTGCCTTAGTGCATGATCAGAAGCTGTGGGAATGACATTGGCAGTGTCAGGGTGGGGTGGACATTGGACCCGCTTTATTACCCAGTGCCTGAATATTGCCCATCGATTTGGCAGACTCAACTTTTTATGTCTTGCTTGCAGTTGTAGTAGCAATATGAAACGGCTATGTAAAGTGGATAGGTGCGTGGTGGCTTGCAGTTTTGCATGATGTCCACCAGGTGGTGTCGGGTGCTTCATTTGGAAAGCTTCGAGAGGCCATGTGAAGCGCACACTCATCATTTCGGTAGATCTAATTTCTTGTTGTTACTGAAAATAGGACGTTCCCTCAGCACACTGACCATATCTGAAACCCTGAAAACCGTATTGCTTATGCAAGCAATGGGATGAGGTTCCCAGTCCGGACCACCTCGTGAATTTCTCAGCAAACTGTAACATTACATCTGGCTGGTCTGCAGTGGTTGCTTTCATCCAGAATGGTATAGGGGAAGCAGATAATCCTTTTCATGTCTGTGGATGCGGAGTGCAGCACTTCATAGCTTTCAGTGCAGAGAATGAATCTGCTTGTGTTACCGGTGTGTCTGCGTCGTCCTTGTGCACAATAATAGCAAAATCCAATTTAGGGACGAGAGCTCCAGGGCCCATGTGTGACTGGAGTTGGTTACGTAATTGGAGCATTGCTTTTTATTTCTCAGTGCACTATTACTAGCCGTGTGCTCTGCTGCCGTGCAGTCGCGTCCTGGGCTGGCCACGCACGGGAGTGAACGCCTCACTCTAAAATAGCAGGTGGCAGTTATATAATTGCTGTTATTTCATAAAGTCAACTCCCAGTTTACACCCACATTGGCATTATTCCCACCGCAAACATTCTGCTATGCAAGATGAGATGGCATGACCTCAGTATGTGATGCACAGAACACAATTTTGTACCCGACGGCACCTAGTACGTCGTTTCGGAACGACCGGTCCATGTTCTTTTTTAGAACTGAGAATCTGTTTCTGCGTTGACTGCCGAGACCATCATGGTGGAGCCTGTCGACTGATCCTGCGTATTTGAAATGGAGAAGTTGCTGGATTTGCGTCATAAAATAAGTGCACGGGCCTGTTAGATGGACTGGGAAGTTCTCACACGTGGCCGTCTTGCACGCAGACCATACACGCAGAGCTCTCCAAGCTGGTGAAGAAGCACTCGGAGCAGAGGGACATGGAACAGGCCATGTACAAGAAAATGCTTGGCAACCCCTCTTCAAGTACCCTGCAGAAACACAAGGCCAAGTCTTCATGGGTGAGAAGGCCGCACGCTGATATCGGCTTTATAGTCAACTTAAAAGCATTAACAAGCTAAGTCAGCATTTTGTACAGTGTGTGTCTTTAATAAGGCTGTTTAGAGTAGTGTGTGATGGTGTAGTATCCACTGCATAATCTTCTCTCTCTTGCTGCAGAGTTTCAGCTGGAAGTGGCTGTTTGGTGCCACCGCTGTTGCCATCGGAGGCGTGGCTTTGTCAGTAGTTATTGCTGCTAGAAACTAAGTGGGACCAATGTCACGGTGGGTTTTGCACCCCCCCCCCCCCCCCGATGCCATGGTGCGCAGTAGTTTCACCAGTGGCTCAGCTTTCAGTACCCAGTTAGACAGAAAACGGTCTCTGATGGTACTCACGTACTCTATCTGTATCCTAAAGATGCCACACTTGGAAGTTCTGACATTATTCTTCAATTTTCAAAACTCCTCATTTTACATTGTGGAAAAAAATGTTGTGTGTGTGGGTTTTTGTTTTTTTTTTTTTTTTTTGTATTATAGCGATATTAGAGAGAGCATTCCGGATGTTCTAAGATTTTTATAATTGTTTTCCCAAGACATTTTTATTTTAAGGAAAGGACCAGTTCTGTATTGTTAATCTAAAATGTAATTGATTATTTTGTATGATTGTTTTATTTTATTTTGTTCTTCAAGACCTTGCTAGAGTCAAGGTGTGATTGTTAATGACATTCTGAGCGTACAAACATTTTGTCTTGCTGTTGCTGCCTAGTAATATTACATGAATTCCACCGATATTAGGCCAAACATTATTTAATATTATCTCACTAGAAAATTACCTCTGATCAATTTAAAGACATCCAGTCTTGTACAGCATTTGAAAATATCGGTCTAGTGCTGTTACTGGAGTACATTGGACCACTGTCTTTCTGGAAGGTGCATGTCCTTGGTTATTTAAAGTTCTTAAAAGATGTTCATTTTGTTACCTGAATTACACTCTGTAAGCTTTGAGGCAAAAACGACTGGCGACCCTTGTAAGTTGCAGGCAGGATGAAACTCATAAGAGCATGTTTCTCTACTCTCAAATGGTGGTAGATGGACACACCTTGGAATGCAAACGGTCCATTTATTCTGATTTTTAGCCCTCGGCAAGTGAACTTCCATAGAAATTGAATCATCTGTGAGGGGGGGAAAAACTTATTAGTCATTGTGTCAATCAGCAAAGAGGGGATATTCCTAAAACTTCTATGGCGCCATTAGACGTTCGAGTAACCAGTGGGTTTCTCTTTCAGTGAACATGCTTAACACCTACTGCTGCACAGAGCAGAAGATGGAATACCGGCATGTTATTTTCAGGCATCTTCTGAATTAAATTGATACAGTTGGAGGTAAAATGCATTCTTTTCTCTCACCAGCCATGCTTGGGAAAACACTGTTATGCTATCAATGACAAACGTGAGATGGAGTGATTTTAAAAAATACACTGATTTTGACCTATTGTCTATTGAGAGAGACACTATTCATGACACTTTCTTCTTTTACATGACATGAATTGACTGAGTCAGCCATGTTTGTTAAAGCCATGTTCCTTCCTTTGCATCTTGTCTTGTTTTTAATGTATATGACCACTATAAATAAATATATTGTTTGTTCAACATTTTGGTCTTTTTTTTTTTTTATTATTTTAGTATGTTTTCTCTCAGCAGTGATCAAGTGGAGCCTTGGAATTCCATATTAACACTTTGTTGTAATTAATTTTAGTCTTTCAGTTTAATATACATTTTCTCGATTAATCCCCTTCTTGCCGAATGACGCATAAGGCTGTACATTCTCTAGTATTCCTTAAAACATTTCATATGTTTCCCAGACATGATGAAATATGAGTTGCTACTGTCCTTTGCTCAACTATGCAATTTTCACACCTCTGTGGTTCGTGGAGAATGAGATGTACAGGTGTGTCATTCATGGGGCTGAACACAGCAAATGTGAAATATTAGCAGGCACAATATACTTAAATCATCCTTACTAACTCTATCCCTTATCAGACAATATGGTATGTATACATGTACATTTCTTTCTATTGAATTTTTGTCTGTTTGAATGGTCAGAACTGTTAGAGTATGAATTCTAGTAGTTCACATGCACAAATGGCAAGTCTTGGGTCAGGGACAACGTTTCTAGTCAATTCCTGCAAGCAATTTTTACTTTTGATAATTGGTAATATTTAAAGTTGTGTTATAACAATGGATGTTTTAAGCCTTCAAAGATGACATGAATATAGAAAGAGAGCAATTAGATAGAAATGCAAAGGCAGAGAATAAGTGAGCATAATGTAGGCTTGCTATCGTGGGTGGCACAGTGACAGGATTCTTGAATGTTTTTCACATGACAGCAATGTTCCTTCTAAGGAATCTAGGATCTGTTTGACAGTATACTTAAAGAGGACAATTAAAAAAATATATATTTTCTGTATATGCTTTCCTGACCAATATTTTTGAATTATGGAACGATAGAATATCTTAAGTTTTTTTTTTTTATTACAAATACCTTGTTTTATTTTTGTCAGTTAGCATTATATTAAATCGGTGCAGTATTATGTGGATTAATATAAAGCAATGTACATGACTTTTCTATTCTTTAATCAAAATGACAAAACGGATGGCTTCTGAAAAGATCGTCGCGATATGCTTCTTAACCGGACAGCCGTATGGAGCTGTCATACATTGACGCTTTTCTGACGCAAGTCACTGGCCTCATGTTTTCCCTCTCATCCTCCGCATTTTCCCAGAGACCGGAGGTGAAACAACTCAGGAGGAGCCTTCTCATATTTCACCCTAGGTTATTAATAATTAGTGACACCATCACCATCCCGGCCGAAAGCGACTGCGAAAGAAAGGATAAATGACGCTCTTCCTAGCAATCGCGAGGAATGCAGTTACTGACATCCGACCCACGGCAACCTGCGCGCGCATCACGCAATCATGCATATTCATTAAAGGGGCGCGGGGATGTAATGCCTCTGCTGATTAATAGAATTTCTGGCCAATTTCATGCCGCTAAGCCACACCCACCTCGTCATGTGTCCAGCTCGAGACTTATGAATATTCACTGAATTCTAAAGGGGGGTTTCGCGTTTGCTGCGGGGACGCGCGAGCGATGTGGAAATGGTAGCAAGATGGCGGCCCTGAAGGAGGAGCAGTGTTACGGACTGTCCTGTGGAAGAGTGAGCAATGGCAGCAACGTATCTGTCTTTCACGTTAAGCTTACTGACAGCGCTTTAAAAGCGTTCGAAGGCTATCAGAGCAGTAAGGTAAGGGGGGATTCAGGGGTGTCGCCGTCCTAAACTTTGCCGTTACACTTGTAGCTGACTACGGCAGGTTATCAGTGGATGCTGTTCTGCCAAGGCTGGCTTGTCATGGCACACTGTTTGCACTTTGGTAGCGCGCCAGCTGTCTCGCTTTATATGACTGTGCGTTCAGTGGCACGTTGCGGTACATTACGTGATCACCGTGGGTTTTAAAACCTCCAGGAATTTCCTTGTTGTTAATCCTTATCTAGTCTGTTATTGCTTGTTAAATCGCTATAATGTGAGCTCCAGGATGAGGGCTAGCTAGCTGGCTAACTGTTTAGCTAGACAAATCTTTAGAGAGGGGGGGGGGATGACTCAAACAAAATGAAACGGGTTGTCAGCTGTTTGTATAGATAACATTTCCAAGCGCATTTCTCTCCCCCACCCCCTGTTATCCCAGTGTAAAAATGTAATATTGCAAGAATTCTTTCGTGTTAATATGTTGCTAGCAATGAACAGCTACCTTCATTTCCCCAAACAGCGACTAACTAGTTTTACTTAGTTGCTTAGCTTCCTGGCCATATAGGATAGTTAAATACTTCTAAGTAAGTTTAAGAATATAATATGCCTTTCCGCTGGTTCCCTGTGTGGTTTTTTCACGTTTACATTGGCAGTCGAACAGTGTGTGTGGTTGTAGCAGAAGCAGACGTACTTTTCGTTAACTCTTCCCATTCAGACCAGAAACGTTAGCGAGCTGCCTGCTCGTGGCCGTCTGGCGAGCGCACGCGCTACTTCGGCCGCGAGCCTGTTTTTTTTTTTTTTTTTTTGCCCAATTCAAGTCCCGAAAAGATACCGAGAAACGCTTCTTTACTGGAGCACATTTATAAAGCGCGTAACGCTTCCCGTGTACTTTCTATCGCTTATTACAGGCAGGAGTAGTCGAATAATTCGGCGTCAATGCGGTTGACAGAAAAAAGCAACAAGTTGGCAACCAAGATATTTAATCTTTTTTTTCCCTCCCCCTCCCTTCTTATCCCAGCGATTGCGTCGGTCGTGTCGTAATGCGCGCATGGCATGAGTCGCCAGCTATTATGAGTCACTTTTACTGAGCTGGACCGATTGTGATTTCTAGTTGACCTGTATGAAGGCTTTCTGTAGCACTTTAATTCTTTGTGCGAAAAGTTACGGTTTAAATTATTACGCCTGGCTAATCCCACATATAGATTTCTTTTCAGTGGGTAAAGTCCTCTTCTCTTTGAAGATGATTCGTTTTTGTATGTTTGGTCTCTGAAACTGTATTCTACATTTGCCGGTGTTCTGACAAAACGTCCTACATTATCAAAACATCCTACCGTAGTGCTAATCGATAGCCCTAACCCTAACTCTTACCCTAACCCCTCAAAAACTCCTGAAACCCTTTCCTTAACCTTAACCCCTAAAACTTAACCATAATCCCAAGACGTTGGAATTGTACATGCGCAGAAAGGCTCGATAGCACGTCTCGATAGGTAGGATGTTTTGTCAGAACACCGGTCGTACAACACGACTTTTTATGAAATGGTATTATGTCATCATTTTCAGCCGGCCTATTTTTTATCTAGATATACGTAGTTCACTGAATACGTGTACTTTGGTGATTTGTATTTTTTATCTTGTATGACCGCATACATCAATGCCAATCCATGTCAGATTTTAAGGTTTAATCATAAAACTAACTTTGGTATTATGTTACAGTAGCTGTCTTACAGCAGATTTTTTAGGAGTGTGGAATATTTTTTGAGTGCTGACTTGGTAAAAGGGTTTTGCATGCATTGCCTGTTCTTAAAAAGTCCCCAATGGGAAGCACAAAGCAGTAGAAAATTGGTTAGTCTATTGAAGTCTTGAGCCAGAAACGTATTTCAAATTTTGCTGGATGTTTTTGAAACACATCAACACATTTTTGCAGCCTTTGATTCAAACACATGGAACAAATTATTTCTCATTTTTTGTGCTTGTTACATTGTCTTGCTTGTCTCCTGGAGATGTACATTAAAGACAATACATATGAAATGATCTTGTTGTTGGCATTTTTAATGGATTATATTCCATACATTAAGAACCCATCGTTGTGTTTAGGAATAATTAGTTTTGATGTTTTTTAAGTTATGTCAAGCTTTAGCAGACCGCTGGCTCCAGCCCACAGTGCTTCACTCTGCTTACTTTGCTTAAAATGTAATAAGAGCTACATACTGCTTAAAGGCTCATGAGCAAGGAATTTGCTACCAGTCCGGAAAAGTGACTTGCACCATATATGAATTTTGCAGCGAAGGTCTGCCCCACCAGTTAGCATGTTCTGAGAGGATTCAGACACTTGTGGTTTTTAAATGTAACTGATTTATCCCAGCTTATGTATGCAAGGCTACAAACCCAGGGTGTATTCTTCTAGCTTTCACAACATTGTGTCTATATACACACGGCAATAATAACTGATTGCCTGGTGTAATCGTTTAGAAGATAACATGGTATTGAGGAAGTCAATTGGCCGTAGAACTTGTTAGCGTAAGTAACTTCAAGCGTGAAGTACCTCAAAATTACAATTTTTTTTTTTTAAGCTCCCACTATGATATATTGACGCTCCTTCTAGCAAAATGTACAGGCCTACCAGTGCACTACTGACACAAGGTGTTGCATGCATGTGTACGTAAACATAGAATAACGTAGAACTTAATTGAATAAATTGGTCCCATAGATCAGCCCCATTATCCCCGATAAATGATTTGTCAGAATATGACCTTCCATATTGGATCAGTGTATCCCTAATTACAGTATTTTGGTCGTCTTTCTGGCAGCCCAGAATCACAAGCCAGTCATGCACATTGGGCAGCCTGCAGTAGAAAGTCAATGTAGAGCATGTGTAGTGTATTGAAGTGACAGGTGAATTGTGCATTGAGCTGCCATATTGCGGAATGTAATGTTAGACACTGGACACGCCGCAGATTCAAGTTCAATGTTCTGATGCTGCAAAGTAGATAAGAAGACAATTTTAAAATGACTTGTCTGATACTAGCTGTCCTCTGCCAAGCAGTAATGTGAGCTGCTGAGACGATTAAAAGCCAGGCTAAGGATGAGGGTTGTGTTCCAGCCTGCTGGTGCTGGCTGAGTGGGGGTGGGGTGGGGGGGCGGTCTATGTACCTTGGCTAAACTACTCAAGAAGTCTTCACTCACCTCTGTTCTAGGTTTGTTGCACGTGAAAGTTTGCCTGTAGTTGTACTTCTGGGGGTGCATAATTGGCAATGTGATCACCAGTAGTCACCCAGTATTAATTTAAAATGTTAGTGAAAGGAAATGGGAATAAATGATATTCATAAATGCTGAATGTGATGTGTTACGGCAATCTGCCTTTGTCTTCTCAAAACGAAGGCTGCATTCTTTCCTGCTGAACCCTCACAGTATTTCGGGCGTACAGGTTAATTTTTCCTGCTCATCCATAACTTAAGTCTTTCAGTACCGTTGAATTTGATCACAGAGAGCAACATGCTGGTGGTTTGGCTTTTGTGTGATCAAACTTCTCCAAGAGAACAAGTTGCAGGATTACTCTAAGGACCATGCATACAGAATGAAAGGGTCCCTATGTTGAATGTACAAGCATGCACCCTCCTAAATATAGCTCATTTAATGCTGTCTTGGTCCTGTGCTGTGCTCCACACATGGAAGGAGAGAGAGGCGGGGAATATTGTGTAATGCATTTGAGGTATTTAAAAATTTAGCACACTGTGCTGCTCTTGTATACTTGTTCCACCCCCCCTTGCTCAAAGTTGAGAGAAATATGTCACAACTTTGCACCACTCCATGTGCTTTTATTTATAGAGCTGTAATGAATTTTGAAATGTTTGTGCTCTGGGTGGACCTGTGGCGGCAGGTGGATAAATTAACAAGTGGGTTCTTACAGCCTGAATGATAGCTTCCTTTCATGCAGCCTCCGTGATTGTCTGATGCACTATTAAATTTGTACTGTTGCATTTCATGGTTGTGGTTGTCGGCAGCGTCTCATTATTGATGCAGCGTTGTCTTGTTTGACCAGAACCGAACAAGAACTTTGGATCCTACAGAATACGACGAGGTTGATTCAATCTGATGCACTCCGTTGTATTGATATCGTAACATCACGATATAAAAAAAATAATCACTTTCTTTGCCACAGGCAAAGAATTTTATGGCTGACGTGATTGCTAGGTGGTATAGTGCTGTCAGTAATGTAATGTGGTGGCATGTTTTTAGTCATCTATTTTTCAACTACCTATCTAATAGAGTGTTGCAGGGAGCCTCATCAGGGTAGTGCAGGGCTCAAGGCAGGGGAAGATCCTGAATTGGATGCAGTCCTTTACAGTGCACACACTTGATGCTGCGTAATTTTAAGCAAATTCTACCCTGTCTCCTACCTTTTGTACTCATTTTTCTGCTTAGATTATGAGAAATAGATTTTGTGAATGGTACAGTTCCTCAGTTGAGGTTTGACAATTTGTTTTATCTGTCTGGTATTTACTGTGCGACAGGGAGTAGCACCATGTAGCAGGGACAAAGTATGTGATTCTTTGCCTATTTGGTAGTGAGGCCGACAAAGATGTTCAAGTGACATTTGCATGACACAAGTGAAATTGCCTCCAACTGGCATGTATGTTGGCTAGCTGCTAACTGTTGCCAGCACCTTGCTGTGCAAGGCCTTCCAGTTAACTGTTCAGATTGCTTTATTATTGGCAGTGTATTCAGAAGTTATGTACTAACAATTGGTAACGATTTTGTTGTACTTAAGTTGATGCAAATGTAGTACAGTTAGGGATGCACCAATCCCTCTTTTGTAGTTCCAATAAAGATACTGTATGCCTCACAGTTTGAAAAAGATGGGATGATTCTTTTATGTTTAAGGCAACATCAGGCTTGATTTAAACATTTGTTTTCCTAACTTCATAACCACTAATTCGCTAACTCCAAAGTTTAATTTTATAACGCTGATCCAATAAACCTCTAAAGAATTTAGCAGAAGC